TGTAATAAAAAAAAAACTAGGTCCAAGAAATTACACTTGCTATTTGACACGCGATAAACGTGACATTAAAAGACATCTTGATCAAATAATTAATCGTTCCGATGTTAATACTGAAACATTGTCTGAGGAGCCTTTCGAGGAAACGAATATACCGTCGGAAGCAAGAGCTGTTGTGAAATTTGAAGAGCCGCTGGTTGAGATTGACGACCTTTCAGAGGAAGATGATGTATTCAAAGATGCAAGCGATTCTATTCCAAATAATATTGAAAGACGTGAAACGAGACAAACAGCTGCAAGAGCTAGAGTAAAAATCACAGAACAGATTGCTCCTCAAAGATTGAACAAAAATGACAATCGGAACAATTAATATCGTTACTTTTCTTCACATGAATTCTAAATCATAATTGTAAACTAGTCATAAGAACAATCCAAATAATGAGTTATGGAATATTTCTGATTTATTTATACAATTATCTTTAGGAGGAAGTTGTTAAGTATAAATATATATACATAGTATGGCAACGCTGAGAATTGTCATTCTCCCACTTATCCATATTTTGACATTCGTTGTTAGCTTTAAGGTAACATGTGCTTTTAATAAAGAACTCTCCTTCTTCTTTGCTGAACCTTCGACTATTAAACATCACAATAAGAATAATTCAACAGTGAAGCATATCCCACCCGTGACAAGGTTTACAGGGCTGACAAGCTTTATTTGTTTGTTGTGGTGGACGCAGGGGAGGAGGAGGGAATCGCGCACTCGCCCATTACCTATATGCCCTTGTGGCCAGTTGATTAAGTTAAGTTACATTTTAATAATAATAATAATCCCAACAGTTTTTACCCTCCATTCCCGCCCATCAGCACGAGGGGCGCAGTCCACATGACGTACGGAACCAGTATTTATTTTCACTTTTTGCGCCGAGTCACGATAGGCAGGAGTTTGTTAAGTGTCGAGATCTAAAACTGTTCAGCTACAGAACTAAATTCATCAGCCGATTTTATGTCTTTATTTTAATGATTCATTTATTGAGAGAGGACAGTATCGATTTCTTAATGCTGATAAGCGGATCTGATATATCAAGCGTGGAATGAGAGTTAAAATCCTGGCATATGCAACGGAGGGGTCGTGCAATTCAAAATTAGTTTTACAAGCTTTCAGAAATAGGGGACAAAAGTGTCTTGATACACGGGAGGGAACATTAAGGCTAACTTCGCCCAGAAGAAGCGGACTTGAAATCGAGCCTGTTAGTAATTTAACTATAAAAATTGTTCCAAGCATTTGCCTGCGGCTGGAAAGTGTAGGAAGGTTAATAAGTTTTAATCGGCTCGTATAAGGTGGAAGGTTATATTGAGAATCCCAACGGAAATTTCTTAAAGCAAAAAGTAGGAATTGTTTTTGAATTGATTCTATCTTGTCTGAGTAAATTTGATACCTTGGATTCCAAACCACCGAACCGTATTCCAGAATTGGCCTAACTAAAGTTGTAAACAGAGTTTTAGTGATATAAGGGTCACAAAATTCTTTTGACCATCGTTTCACAAATGCAAGTACACCTTTAGCCTTGTTGACTGTCACATTAATATGAAGATTAAAATTAAGCTTAGGATCCATTGTGATACCAAGGTCCACAAAATTGCATACCTGTTCCAGGTTATGGTTACCTATTGTATAAGAAGCTGGATGAACAGCTCTGCGCGAGAAGCACATTACTTTACATTTCTTAAGATTTAGAGGCATAAGATTTTCTTGACACTAGTAAGTCAAGCTGTTTAAGTCTGATTTTAGCAAAGACCTTTCTTTAATTGAAACGTACGATTTATAAAACTTTACATCATCTGCATATATTAAAATTTTGGAAAATTGTATATCTGTAGAAATATCGTTTATAAAAAGCAAGAACAGAATCGGGCCTAGGTGGCTACCTTGAGGGACTCCTGAAGTAACATCAATGACGTGAGAGATAGTATTTTTAAACATTACCCTTTGTGATCTATCGTATGAAGAGATCCAACGTAGAAAATTAGGTGGAAGACCAAGAAGATCAAGTGTATAGATGAGCAACGAGTGACACACTTTGTCAAATGCTTTACTGAAGTCAGTATATATAACATCAACAGTTTTGCTTTCACTAAATGCTTTTGAGATATAGGCTGTTAATTCAAGTAAATTTGTAGAAGTTGATTTTCCCTTGCAAAATCCATGTTGACTATATGAAATGCTAGAAGAGATAGAATGCGTCAACTGATTTGTTATAATTGCTTCAAATAATTTAGGAATTGCAGAAAGCTTAGCTATTCCCCGCTAGTTCTCCACTGAAGATCTGCTACCGCTTTAATGTAAGGGGGTTATGAACGATCCCTTCCATATAGTTGCAAAAACGCCCTCTTTAAGAGACGAATTAAATAACGCTATTAACGGCTCATAGAGATAATTAGCACAATTTATAAGAATACAAGTAGGGATCTGGTCTGGACCACAACTGAAGGACTTCTTTAAGGATTTCAGTAAACTACTACGTCATCGGAAGATATTACTGGGATATTTATTGAGTTCATTGGATATAGTTTAAAAGGATAGTCAATGTTAGCACGTGAGTTAATGGAATAATTGGATTTAAAAAACAGCGAACATATTAGAAATTGTTTGATTATCACTAGAGACGGTATTTTGATACTTCATGGCGGAAGGAAACCCATGTACACTTCGCTTGGAGTTTACGAAGTCATAAAATGATTTGGGAGTTTATATTATACGCCGTTTGATTTTGCACAAGTAAGCCTTATAACACTTTTTGTTTAATTCAAAAAACTTATGACGCAAAAGTGAGTATTTTACATAGTATGAGTGTAAACCGCTTTTTTTGTGTAATCTAAAATAACGGCCGCTGTGGTGTAGTGGTAAGCAGTGCGCGCTTTCACTCATCAGCACCTGGGTTCAAGCCCTGGTAAAAGCAACATCGCAAAAAATATAGAAAAAGGTTTTTTCTTAACAGCGGTCGTCCCTCGACAGGCAATGGCAAACCTCCGAGTGTGTTTCTGTCATGAAAAACAGCTTGTGTGAAAACATCAAGGCGCACACCACAAGTCGGAGAAGAAGCTCGGCCAAACACTAACATATGTGTAAGCGCCAATCTATTATATTATTAAAATAACGCGACTTTCTGTTTTTCAAATTTCTCAGATCTTTAGTGAACCATAACTGTGTTTGTTCTTCAGGAACATACATGCGTTTAGGCACATGCTTTTCAAATAATTTATGTAAAGTAAAGTTAAAAAGTGCAACGCTTTGTTCAATATTTTCTTTATATGCAGGCCACGACAATTTAGACAGTGCTTTGTTAAGGTTTTTGAAGTTGGCTTTCGAAAAATCAAAGCGACTATTTGGTTCGTATGCTTCGGTACTGCAATTTTGACCATCACTTATAACTTTGTAAGATACCTCCATAGCAGGGTGGTAGACAGGTTATTTACAACGGACTTAGATGCATCATCAACATAAACAAGATCTAATACTTTACAAAACTTATTGTGAAGTATATTAACCTGAGTTAGGCAGAGTTCAGCCATCTCCTCTAAAAATACGTTGTTACACGCACTAGACGCGAAAGGTACGATATCATTGTCAATGATGTTCCATGATATGCTTGGTAAATTAAAATCACCCAATACAATCATTGAATCAGAGGGTTTAGTCAGTAAATTAACTGATTTCAGTAAAGCGATGAGTCGTGAATGCACCAATGTGTCAGATCGGGGAGGGATATAGCATAGAGCTAAGTAAATAGACACTTTTCCAGCCTGTACACGAATGCATTTGAATTCTACTGAATCATTGTGTGGAAGACTAACTTCTTCAGGATTTTTACCAGTTTTGTTTTTTTTTGTTTATTTAATGTTAATTTTTTTTTTAAATACATAAATACACATTTCAAACTTCGTAAAAAAATTATAAAAATTCAACAAGCTTTAACAATTACAGCCAAAAATTGTTAAACTTTCTGTTCAGAATTTTTAGAAAAATTCTACGTATGCATTTTTATAGCCCATTGAATTTAAGTAGGTAAAAGTGAAAATTTCAAGACGCTAGGAAATCGCGTTGATTTTTAATATTTTTATTTTTTTTTGCTGACGGGGCTAGGCATTTTCTTCTATATAAAAGGCACTATCCTAAGATAAAACGTGAGTGAATTGAACCCAGTAACTCAGATTTTTCCATATAAAAGTAAGCTGGAATTTTTTTCGTATAATATTCAATTAGATGTAGCTTTATCAAATTATAGAATTGTTGAGTACTTTATACTTAAATTTAAACAAGGAAGAACATTTTTTCTGTACAAATGTCCCACCGTGGCGGTGGAATCGCCCATATTAAACGAAACCTATATATCCCTATGTTATTCGATACACTGAAGGCGAATCCGAGGTCCGATGGCCTCCATCACGTCAGGTTCGTGGGCAGTTGAAGGTTAAGTAACGAAAAATTCATTGAATAAGCCTGAAAATTCAATACAATTCTTCTGAATTTGACCTTGGGATGACCTTGAGTAATCAAGGGACCCTCATATTTGGATTCAGCGACAACAAAAACAATTTAATTTTTTTATTTTTTTATTAAATACATTTTTTGTCCTATTTGACCCCCAAATAACCTCGAACTTGACATTATGGAGGTTAACGGACCTCGGATATTAAAAAAAACAACACGGCGTCATTTGTTTGAGTCACTGTAGATAGCTCAAAATATTCTCTTTACTATTTCAGGAAATTTTTCGCTTTAACTCACACCAAAGCAGGCAGGTCTACAATCCCAGAAAATTTAACCGATTTCTTACCAATTTCTCGTGTTAAAATATATTTAACGCTAGTAATGAAAGAATTAAAATCCAATTTAAAATTTCTTAAACTGGGGCAGCTTAGTTGATCTTTTTAAATGACTTTTTATATGTTCATAATTATTTGCCAAAACAAAAGGTTAATAATAAATAATTACATTTCAGACACGCGAGCTCGATGATGACTGCTTGAAAACAAATCTGACAAATACAAAAGGGACAAGTGCATTAAATCCCGAATTATGTAAGTATTTGAACTGCTATACTTATTTAGTATTCTCCGGATATAAGCATAGATAAAAATGTACGCCAAATTAGGAAAGTGACGACGGTAATTTAAAACCATTATAGAAATTCTAATCATGTAAAATAATTCTTACAGGGTGCTTGTACACAGATTTTGTTTTTAACAGGCTTATAAGCACTGCCTTTTTCGAACTAATTCGAACTATTCGCGTATTATCAAAAACTTATCAGATTTTCCTGTTCGTGTACACAAAAATCCAGCAAAGTAGGGGAAATTAAGAGACCAAATTGACATTTCATTCTGATGAAAAGCTGCTAGTTTCTGCTGGAAAAATTTTTGCCAGCAGTCATTTGCCAGCAAGAAAAACAGCTGATCAATCAAAGTCATCTGTTTTCAATTTATGAAAATACGGAAATTTATTTTAGATTTAGATTTAGATTTAGATTTATTATTATAATTTTAAAGTTTGAAATAACTTATTAGAACTGCAAATGTATCGGAAGAAAGCAAATACTTATTTACTCATGTTTGATTAGCACATTGCTTTAGGAAAACTTTTAATTTATATTCTTTTCATGTTTTCTGTTTTATGCTTTTGCATGTAAACAAAATTTCGATCAGCTGTACTGAAAACTTGCAAGTTTTTGCTGGTTTGCGTTCGCGTAGTTTTGCTAACATTTCTCCCTTTGAGAGAGATCAGATGAAAATTCATTAGAATTTTGCTGCTGAGAGTTTTCTGCTGGAAGAATACGCGAATACACCTATAACTTCACCGCACTCCGATTAAAATTTTGTTTGAGGGGAAATCTTTTATATGTGGTGCTTACATGAAACAGGTGGTCTATACTTTCGATTTCTTTAGATATATGCATCAAAAGCGGTGTATGTACAATTGTATCTAATATTAAGTCAATCACAGCACAATAAAAGGAAAATCTTTGTTATAACTATAAAGTAGCAATTATACGTAGATACATGCATTATATCAGTTTTGACAATTTTTCTTTTGTTTGTTGAATGCAGGGTTTGAATTTCTGACTACAAAATAGCATAAGCAACACTTTTTTGCGTATATATGTACATACACATGTATGTACATACAAACAAACATATGTATGTACCCTGTGGGGAAAATCTCTAGTTCTGAACTGGAGCGCTTCTAGTACATTTAGACCCAGTACTGGTTCGCGATAAATCTCTTTTGCATGCAAGCAACTGGCGAATTTAACATGGCGATGTCCTAGGAAGTGTCAATTGCCCCCCGCTGCATCCCTTTTTCGATAGTTCCGAACTAGTTCTAAATTCTATAGTTCCGAACCAGTTCTAAAATCGACAGACGAAAGAAAAAAGTATTGAAAAATTCTTTTTGGTTCTGCCGTGTGTGCGATTTTAAGTTATTTTGGAAGAAATGTGTTTTCAATTTGAAATTAAATTTGTTTGAATGATTGTAAGAAATGNTGAAATTAAATTTGTTTGAATGATCGTAAGAAATGTACGTTTACATACCTTTAGCTGTAGCTGAGTTTGCAGAGGTGCTCGCTGTTATTTCTTAGATTCCAGACGGTCCCAAGATGTTGAAATGTTAACACAAATTTTAGTTTTGTATTACCAAGCTATGAAAAAGCATCTGCGAAGCACAGAATAAAAGCGTATATGAACGAAGAAGCCGCCGAACACATATCTGTGTAAAGTAAGCAAGCCCCCCGCTGCATCCCTTATTCGATAGTTCCGAATTAGTTCAAAATTCGACAAATAAGATCTAGTTCGTTCTGCATCCCTTTTTCTATAGTTCCGAACCAGTTCTAAATTCGTCACTTTAGATATAGATTTCTAGTGAAAAAACTGAAAAAATTAGTTTTTTAAAAGTACCACTTTTCGCCGATTTTGTACTGGTGGGGATCTAGTTCCTATCATACTAGTTCCTTTTTAACGAGAAAGACCTAGTACGGAACTAGAAATTTGATTCACTAGTCCTAGTAAAAATAACCCCGAATCAGTAAGCTTGCAGGAAGAGCAAATTTTTCTGAACTGGTTTGCTTCGGCTGACTGTGTAAACCACAGTATAGACAGTAACCAACCTTTTTGGGTTGTTGTTGTAGTAGTCGTTGTTGTTGTAGTTATATTCACTCCTGAGGAAGGCACGGGGTTGTGTGCTGCTATTTAATGGCCTTCCTCAGACTTTTTCTTAGATTTCAGGGTTGGTGCTGCATTATTATTAGATAAATAAATTTAAGCATTTGACAATACGTGATTTTATTAAAAGAAAATTATAAATGGTGTTGAAAAACCAAACAAACGCTCGTGCGAAAGCTCTATTTTTGTGTGTTGTTAAAATTTATACATGGCGTATTGATGGTAATACAAGCAATGTATTCTTTTGTGGATTTTATGTTACTTGAGAATTTAGACAACGTGCGAGCTGCCAGGTTTTGTTATCAATATAATTAACACGAGCTTTTTCGCGTAGTTGCCTTTCAATAACTAGAATAAACAAATATTCGCAAATAAATTGGATTTATTTTATAACTGACAACTAACGTACGCTTTTTGTTCTTTTCTCCATTTTGATTTTGACTCTTTATTACCGCCAACAACTTTATGTGTATACATATTTACAAGCTGTCAAAATTTTGCGTAGTCCCACGAGCTAGGTAAAAACTATGGCATTCGTATTCACAAGAAGAAATCTAAAAATTTTTGTTTGGTATTTCCAAATTTTCTCTTTTTTATCAGTTTGCAAAAGCCCTCAGTGGCAGCGCTCCGAGCGTTGAGATAGTAATTTCATGTCAATTAGTAGAAAAGATCCATGTTGAAAAAACTTTTTTATTATGGCGAGAAAATTTTACATTGCTGTGCCAATTCGTAACTTTTTACTGCTGGAAATTTTTAACAGTTGCTCTGGTGCAAAAGAAGTTGAGCAATTAAAATCAGAAACTACACAAAAAAGACTTGTCCTTACTGACTTTTATTCTTCTAGAACTAAAAGCCATGCATTTATTAGACGCGTTAGTAATAAAATTTGAACAAAAAAATTCTTCAAAACCGTCAGGCCGGGTTGAAAATTTTCATTCACCTCATAGTTAACAAAAATTTACAATCCGTAGTACTTTGCTGTTTGCTGTCGCTGATTTACCTCTTTTAAGTCGCAACGAAGCAATTGCGAATGCATTGAAAATAGTCAAGCAATTTCAAACCCTGGTGTAAGGTTCATTATGTTTTTTTTTAATAGAAATATACATAGCTCATTGTCTAGAAAAATTCGAATAATTAAGCAAAATTTTACAACAAATACAAACTTTTTACTAAGAAAAAATCTAAATAAGTACAAATGCAGTTTTATAGTCCATTAAACTCTAGATTGAGAAAGTGCACGTTTCAAGTGGCTAAAAATTTGCGTTGATTTGTTGATTTTTTTTTCGCAGATGGTGCTATTTATTATTTACTTCCATACAAATCAAAAATTGTTGAACATACTTTGTTTGGAAGAAAATGCGTGACACCGTCAACAAAAAAGTTATCAAAAATCTTCGCGATTTCTTAGCCACTTGAAACTGCACTTGGTGTATTTGTTGTTGTTGTTGTTGTATTTGTGAAATCTGCTCCTTTAAAATGTTTAACGCACAGCAAGGCATTTCGCTGCAGCTCTGCCCCACAGCTGCTATCGCAACGTTCCTTACGCGAAGGACATTGAGGCACGATAAAAAAATTAGTGGTATCTGCGTTATATTTAACAGGTTATATTCAGGTGTTGCATTTTTAACACATCAAGTATACACCGCAATATACTACAAAAATTCAAATTCCCACGACAGTCGGGTCTACGTAACCGGAACGACCCAGATAGATATATATCTGGCCAAGGACTGCCACCACTCCAGCAACACTCCCCAAAATCTCTTTGGGGAATTTGTATGCTGTTACAACAACAACAATCGATATATATATAAATATATATATAAAATACTTGCACGAAATAGGTAATAGTTGATAAATATAATACTTGCATGAAANTTCAAATGTTAATTAAAATTTGTGTTATTAACGGACATTAAAAAAAACAACGATATGACATTCAAAGCGTAACGAAATATAGGAAATAAAAGAAAAACAAGTTGAAGTTTAAAGGTTTGGTTCTCATGAGAGCAATGCCATTTTGGCTTCTACCTGTATTTATGTGCCTTGCAATCATGGTACAATAATTAAAGGTATTGTCTTCCCAGAGAGTTTTGCTTCACATCGAAATTCGTGCTCCTTTATTTTGACGCAGTTCAATCTTAATTCTTTTACTTTTATTTGCCTTTGTTTTCGCTCAATTTAATTTTTATAATTATTCAAAACAAAAGAAAAAACGTTTGAAATGAAGTGAGCCATACACATTTTGAATTCATTTACTAAGCGAATGTTTTCTTTCGGCTTTTGCAAATTAAATAAGTCCTCTGCAAGAAGGTTTGTTTAAAAAAATACATGGTGTTGTGGTTTAATTGGAAGAAGTGTTACACAGGTTGTTCTATTCAGATAATTATATTTCATTTAATTTAAGTTGTATGAACGATGATTCTACAGAATGAATCATTATAAAAAGAAATGAATAATGACAGCTCGATATATTTAACTGTGCTGCCAAGTATCAATATACATATACATATATACAGAGTTGCCATATGACATGTAAAGTTACAATAGTTCTCCCCTGCTTAAGTATTACGTCGGTAGTCATTCAAGTATGCTGGTGCCCGACGCTGACGTTCGGATCTCCGGGGTGTTGTTGTTACCGGAGTGTTGTGTCCTTCGCTGTCAGATGACCTTGGACGATTCTCTGTATTCGTTGGAACCTGTACGAGGTCCTGTAAATTTGGGGAACAACTATCTGGTTCACAATCTTGTGATGACGTGTTAGTCGAACTCGCTGTTGGAGTATGTGATGGAACTCTTGTTGCGCGCAATTGATTTATGTGGCGCTTGAGAATATATCCATCGTCTATATTGATCATGTAATG